TGGTAACCCCAAATGATTATATCTGCATAGGGAAAATGATGGTCAGCATTAATTAACCATACAGTAAATTTTAGGGTACATACTTTTTCAGAGAAGCTCCTTATTACTGTATTCCCTCTGGAAAAAAAAACACATAGCGAAATTTCCATGGTTTCCTCTGGAAATGATCTCCGATCAAAATGGTGGATTTTTCACCCCCGAAAAGGTAGAAAGATTTCGTGAGATTTTTTGTGATTTACTGGATCTACAAATGGTGAATTGTCATCACTATTCGAGTGAGATACTTCACTGTTCTATCTTTTTGGGTAATATAAATATATATATATATATTTACAAGTTCAGCTACCCGTTGAACCCGTTGGCAAAACCTAAAAGGTCGCTTCAGGTTCGATGCTGGAACCAGTGATCAACTTTTTGAGCGCTGCGGTGAACTGCGTGGTAGTCACTTGCCCGTAACTTCCGGGTGTTTTTTCGAGGCCACTCAGATGCTGACTAGGTCAATCTTGGATGGGTAGAAGCAAATCCTCTAGGCTTTTGGTATCAATGGGATTCTCTACTAAGCTAAGATTTTTCCCCACCTGCCAGGTGAGGGTTGTTAGATTGTATGTCAGTTGCCTCCTCCTCCTTCTCCTCCTCCGCCTCCTCCTGCCTCGTCCTCCTCTCCTCCTCCTCCTCGTCCTCCTCGTCGTCCTCGTCGTCCTCGTCGTCCTTGCTCAACTGCGACCCGCGACCCACAGTGTTCTCTGCCGGACCTCAACCACGACCATCCACGCCCAGTGTTCCCTGCCGGACCTCAACCACGACCATCCACGCCCAATGTTCCCTGCCGGACCTCAACCACGACCATCCTCGCCCAGCGTTCCCTGCCGGACCTCAACCACGACCATCCACGCCCAGTGTTCCCTGCCGGACCTCAACCGCGAGTATCCACGCCAAGTGTTCCCTGCCGGACCTCATGTAGGAAGATATGGGACAAAGAATGTGCAGAAGAAAGTTAAAAAGAATGTCAGAAAGAATGTCAGAAGATATGCCAGAAGATATGCCAGATAGAATGCCAGATAATATGCCAGAAGATATGCTAGATAGAATGCCAGATAGAATGCCAGAAGATTTGCCAGATAGAATGCCAGAAAATATGCCAGAAGATATGCCAGATAGATATGTCAGAAGATATGCCAGAAGATATGCCAGAAGATATGTCAGATAGAATGCCAGAAGATATGTCAGATAGAATGCCAGAAGATATGCCAGATAGAATGCCAGAAGATATGTCAGATAGAGTGCCAGAAGATATGCCAGATAGAATGCCATAAGATTTGCCAGATAGAATGCCAGAAGATATGCCAGAAGATATGCCAGATCATATGCCAGAAGATATGCCAGATAGAATGTCAAATAGAATATCAGAAGATATGTCAGATAGAATGCCAGAAGATTTGCCAGTAAGAAAATGTATAAATGTCATGGTGGGGATCACACGAAGTAAAGTAATTATTTTTTGCTGGGTATCTGGCTGATTGGCCATGCTGAGACTGGGAAACCAGAATTCACAGCATTTTGCAGGTTACTGGTTACACGATGAATGGAGTCCTTATGGTGGCTAAAAAACCACATCCAAGGCTTGCCGTGGAAGTTCATCATATGGTTTGCCTGGTCCAAATCGGTCAACTCTCTCATTGTTGCAGCTTTTGCAATAGACATCCCCATTTTTTAAAAAAAAACTGGCATACCAACAAATATCAACAAATAATCAAAACCCCTCAACTTAAAGTTGGTATTAGATATTTAAATATATTTAAGAATTCCATCAGTTACATCTATGGAAATCTTCAGTAGAAATTACCCCCCCTTGGGATGTCGAGCCGGGCCTTCTTACTGCGCCCTTTCGCTGCGCCGTTCCCCACCGTCAAAGGTTTGGTCGCTGCAGCGCCAGTGGCGCACCAGTGGCATCTTGGATGCTGTTGAGGCGGCGGCCGCGGCCGAGGCCGAGGACACCGCCACGGAATTGGAGGCGCGTTTTTGGAGAGCGATAACTTGGTGATAACTATATGGCCATGGCATGCCATGGCTATTAGTTATTTACGTGGTTTTAACTAGACTAATATAGGTTGTATGTTAGTACATGATGGTTATAAATATGATTAAAACCATTCCATAAATGGTGTTATAAGCGCTTATAATTGTATAAGTGGTTATAAGAGTATGATCAAACACATTCCATAAATGGGGTGACTGTTAGTACGTAATAACTGGTAAAGGGCCATAACTGCAGGGATTTAACCATGGATTAGCTGATGATCAACTGTCAAGTAGGGTCAAATTCAAAAGAGGTGATGAACATTGGTGATACTGTTCGATACCTTTAGCCATTGTCAACAGTATATAAATGAACTATTGATTCAATTATGATTCAACAGTTGTATAAATAAATTATTTGATTCACGGATTTAACTGTTGACGAGTGTCATGGAGAAACTGCTAACCGCTGAAAAACCTCGGACCTCGGCGGAAAGATGTGTTGGGTTGTTAGCTGTTTAGCACTGAACATATGTAATTAAGTACCAAAAGTGGTGATTTTAGTCACCAAAATTATGGATTTGAGCGGGAAATATAGGATATCACTACTCATTCAACATTGGATTTTTTCCCCATCACAACCTTCGGTGATTGAGAGATAAACAAGAATATTTACCAACCACCAATGGGGAATTAAGCAATAAACATTGGATATAATGGGATATGATGGTGATTTAGCAACCATAAATCTGGCAAATTGTGGATTTAACCAGGAAATAGTGTTTTTGTAACCACAAAATATGGGCATATTAAAAAACATGGTGATAGTTGATTTGTTATGTATGAACTAGTTGCTTATTGGGGACCATTATGACCATAAATGGGAATCCCTATCAGGAAACACAAGCTTTGAATTGCTTTGCTAAAAATGGAATTAAATCAGCAAGACTGCATTCAGGCATCATTTGTAGGGGCTACCAAAGTGGAGGGCCCAAAGTTTTGGGTATGATTTGGTAGCAGATTTATACCCCAACTATGATCATAATCCAGTGTTGCTGATTAATTTTCATCATTTTTAGCAAATAATCAACTATGATAGCTGATTTGTTAGTTGTGATAGCAGATTAGCCTAGCTGGCCTACAGTAGCTACAAGCGGACAACATATACGTTCCATGACTACATGGGGTCATCCCAGGTATGTTGTGACAAGACAATTGCAATGGGAATTTGCCCAACAATAAAGGTAGACAGAAGAAACAATGATCAACTGATAAATTAACCTATTGAGTAGATAACTGTATAAATCAACCCGTCTTACAGTCAACGAATTGACAAATGAACTGTATAACCCATTGTTAAATGCGCTGATAATTCAATCATGTGGGATATCCCATTCATGCACTTCCGAATCATCCGGCCGGTTGCCTGGTTTTTGAGACGACCCACCAATCATGGCAAGAAAAGAAGAAGAATCTAGCAGCAGAAATTAGCCATTATCAATTTATGCTAGGAAAACATACTTTGTAGATCTCTTATAGATATTTTCTAGGAGCTCAGCAGTTCAACCCGCAACCATGGTTCAGCTGTCAGCAACGACAAAACGACAAACAGGAGACTTCAACGAGTGCTGCTCTGAGTCTGGAGTTGGAAGATGAAAAGGTTTAAAGTTCTTGTTTTTCTGACATGGAACCTATATCGGGGTTTCCATATACCCCAAGAGCTGGATGTATGAATATACATATATATATATATATATATATTTGACAATATACATTACAAGAAAACACCATGAATAACAACAATGATAGCAAGTTTTTTTCTTCTGATATGGAACCTACAATGTCGAGCTAAGTTGGTGAACATACCTTTAATAGCTATATGACTATATGGTTTATTATACATGTGACTATAGTCAATGGGGTTTATAAACGAAGAAACATAACTGGGGGGCGGCCGACATTGTGTGATGTTTCTAGGTATTGTTCCTGAGGTTTAGTGCAATTCATCCATCTATCTATCTATCTATTTATTTATCTATCTATATGCATAAATATATATATATATATGTACATACATATACATATGTATGTATATATATATATATATATGTCGGTTCCAGGTCAGACGTTTCGGGACGGCTGGAAAATGGCCAGCCCAAAGAGGTTGTTGTCCAGTCAGCAGAACTTTTCCGAGACCTACCGGGGAAATTCTACACCAGGTACATGTTTTGCTTGCCCGTCATTCCTGCTTGGAAACCACATTGCATACAAGAATAACAATAGTCAGAACAACAATAATAGCAATAGTAAGGATACAAGCACTGAGAATAAGACCAACAATGTTTATGCAATACAGATAATAACAACAGCAGTAATGATAAGGATACGAGTGATAAGGATAACAGTAATACCAATAAAAAGATATGAGTATTGAACATGCTAGTAATATATACATACCTATGTATATATATATACTATGTATGCATATGTATACATGCATTACATAAATTCATGAACCTTGATGATACGTCTGGGAAAACTGTTCCTCTGCTGGCCGTGATCCGTCGATCTGTCCAGTGTGAACACCAAATCTTGGCAGCCAAAGAGCTGTTCAAAAGCTCCGCGACGCAGCGGGTTTCGGGGGCCATGACGGGGTGGAAATGCTGTAGCTATGTAGCTGGCAAGGCAGATAATAAACTATATGATAACATTTATTAAAACGTACCAAGTGGATCCAGCCAAGTCATAGTGATGCTCAGTTGGGTCTAGCTTAGTCCAAACTTATGATGATAAAACAACAGAGATAAGAAAACTTTTGGAAGATGGAGCCTACTGAATCTCAAGAACTCTTGAAGAATGGTTATAGTTATAGTATAGCTGCCTCACAACAAGAGGACATCATCGGCTTGCTAAAGCAGCCCAGATGTTTGCCCTGAATCAGTGAATCTTTTAACCCAACAATTGCGCCTCACTTGACCTTCGAGGTTGCAAATGCGGACGTTTTGAGCTGGAATTGCAAGCAGTGAACTACAGTTTGGGTAGCCCAGATCTGGATGGACCTGAAGCCATGGAAACTGTGAGGTTGACCAAACACCTATGAGGACAGAGCATGGAAGAGTGGGGAAGAAAAACATTCAAATGCCAAGCTATAGCCAACGTAACTTGGTATATATATATATACACAGAATACCTGCATATGCATATACTCAGATGCATATACACGTGGGATGTCTTTGATCTATGGCCTTCCAGATCCATGGTGTGCATTGAAGAAAATGGAAGACCTTCTGTTTCACCCTCGCCCAAACCGATGCCAAACCATGCTCCCAGAGCAAGTCAGGGGCCATGGTGTTTGTCTCACAAAAACATGGAAACCCATTCTATGCTTGAAACAACCATAAGATCATAAGGCTCATGTTCTTCATTGTTTTTTCAATTATCTCATTCCTTTCGTTTATATCTACAAAAACTATATTTACACCATACTCATCAATATTATACAGTCATATTTCCAATTCAATATGTTAAACATATAGTTTCTATATATTTCCTATATATTTCCCATCTATTTCCCAAATATAGTGATGTTAAACGCTCAAATAAACTTTTCCCATCATCTTCGGGTGTGAGACATCGACATCTTCGGGTGTCGGTGGAGCTGCAGGTACGCCCTATGGCTATGCTGAAAGTCAGCTTGAAAAGTGATGACCTGAGTTCAATGAGTTTTTTGTGCCTCAAGTGTGGATCTAATCTGTTTCAACAAAGATATGGCTGAGTTCGTTATAGTTTTTTTTTTTATGTGTGGATCAATGTGGATCTAATAAAAACAAACATGTTCATGGGATTATCACCAGCTAAGACTTTTGGGACACGGTTAAAACAAAGTCGTTGACCCCCTCTACAATAGAGCTGGATTTCAAGCATCCGTTATTGGGGTCACCGAATAGGTGGCTTGGTTGAATCTCTATACTCTATGTCTATATCCACAATATCAAGGCCATACAGATAAACTCAGGGGGTTCGTTATTTCATGTTAATTCATGAATCCTATTCTATACATACGTATATATATTTATATAATATATATAATAGCCCGTCTCAAATGTATATATATATATATTTATTTATTTATAGATATAATATCCAGTATGCTCAGTATCCCAAATATATTCCTAGATTATATCAGTAATATATATATATAATACTGTATTCCTAGATTTATCTCAGTGGTATCCTCCAGGCCTTTGGGCTGCAGCTCGGTGAGTCTCGCGTCACGTTCCTGCGACTCGGATCCCGATGCCGCGGGGTGGCGCCACCCCCTGGTGGTAGGTAACTTCCACCAGAAACGGTGGACATAACTATGAAAAAGGATAGTAAAATCCATGGATTGAGTAAAATCCATGGTAAAATCCATAGTAAAATATATTTATTAACATGAGTTAACCACCAAAGATAGTGCATCTAGATGGTGTTTAAATCACCAAGACCATCATCATACTTTGCGGGGGTCACGGGGGGTTGGACTCCCCGTTGACCAATCATCGGAAGGAAGCTGGTCTTCCCCCTTTGGTTTTTGACCTTTGGGGAATGTACAAAACTGGTGAATCCTCAAAATTACCCTCTGGTAAACTCTAACAGTTTGCTATTGAAAATTGCCATTTATAGTTGATTTACCCATTAAAAAATGTGATTTTCAATAATTATGTTAGTTTACCAGAGGGTGATTGGTTTCCACACTAAGATTTAGCAACCGCCAAAAAAAAAATGAACAGTAAAATCCTACTTGCACAGTGAAAAACACACTTTCAGTCTTTCTATCTGTTTGGGTCTTTCTATAGACTATTTCTTGGACAGACCTCGAATTGACCAAGAACATGCAATCGTCCTCGACGCTGCTAGAGTTGGTTTCCACATATACAATTTACATATACAATATACATATACAATATACATATACATATATATATATATATATGTATACACATACAGTTCACACTACTACATTAACCACACGCCCCAATTTACTCAATACTGATAGATGTAAAATGCGTATATATATATATATATATTGGTTGGTTCATTCAATGTTTGATACTATGTTCATAGCCCTATGTTAATTTTCAGGAGAGTGAGGATCCATTTAACAGCTATTTTGATGTTCATCAAGGGTACACAGTTTTAACCCATCCCAAGTAATGTCTACTTTGCCAGCTGATTTTCCAGGCATTATCCGAATCTATACATGCTTCGGCATAGATATGTTCCTCCTATGAACCTTTATATGTCTAAAACTTAACCTATATCTCTATTCACGGCAATTGTAGCTTGATCTATGGTTATACACAGTGATAGCTATCCATGTTAATCAGTCTATTTTACTATGAATGTCACTATTAACCTGTAAAATGATTATATAGGTTGGTTACAACTACGAGCTGTATATCCTCCCATATGGTTACTATCATCCTATGTTTATTACTGATTAATAGCATAACATAACATTGTACTAATAACTGATGCAGTGAACCATAAAGTGAACCAAATGATGACTATTCACCATATATAGTCATGACCATATCATGAATTAGTCTTGAACATGTCCATTTATAGATGATGAACTGTTCCCAGCTATTAACCTACATTCTGGATGAAACTTAATTAATTTAGCTATGGGTTACAATAGCCATAGTTTAAGGACTATCAGCTAATAGCCATTCATTATAGTATACCACTATATTAATGGGGATGGGTCAAAATCTATTCTTACCATATGACTGGGGGAATAACCTGGAATCACCATCTATGAATCAACGATTTTAGGGTCCCATGAATCAACGCTTTCCCGGCCATGAATCGACGCCAGGTAGCGTCGAGTTTTTGCGCCCGGATGCGCAGTACCAGGCCTTCCTGCGCGTGCAGTGCGACGAGGGAGGCGCCGCAGTACCGGGGACATGGCGCCGTAGACTTGGGGCAGATCAAGAAACAGATCACTGGAAAATATTAGCCTCTGGTAAACTAACAGTTTGCTATTGAAAATGGCCCAGTCGAAATAGTGGATTTCCCCATTCAAAATGGTGATTTTCCATAGTTATGTTAATTTACCAGAAGGTACTGGTTTTACTAGATGTTTTTTGTTAATGAATGTTTCATATGGATTCATATGGGAATGTTAGCTATAAATAACTATAGAACAATGAACTCTAGGAGATAGTTTACTTATCTATAGTGGGCAGCTGTTTAACTGGTTTGTTTCTATTGTTAATGAAGACAAACATGTTTTTACCAACAACAACAGCGGTTTTACTGTATGCCAAGGATAGATGTGGTTTAAGTGTTTAGGCAGTAACATCGGTTTTGCTGTATACCAAGGATAAATGTGGTTTACGCGTTTAGGTATGTTTAACCAACAAGAATAGTGATGTGACCAAGAACAAAAAAAGTATGTTTTATGATATGCCTTAGATATAGGAACTTCCAACGGTTTTCAAGTGGAAATGGGGACTTAAAACCAGAGAGGAGCTCCATGTTTTAGCAATGTACAATGCCATCCACTCCTGGAGGTCAGCAATTTTGAGTTATTGACAAATGGATGAAATGATGACTGAAGGGGACATGCCACTCTTGACTTGAAGTCATATAAAGTCCATAAGCTGACATTTATATATTAATATATCTTTGAAATGTGCGTGATATATATATATATATACAATAATATATATATATATATATATTACACCCAAAATATAACGAATCGATCACGTGGCCGAACACAGCCAATCTATGTTTGGCACTTGAGTTTCCCACCATTGCAGGGTTCTGGAGGATATGGATATATGGATTGGATATGGGGCAACCATATGAAATTATGAAATGATCCAATCCAGATATCATATGGGATGGGTGCAGGGGCAACCTTCAGAGATCATGAGATTCACCATCTTGGCATGTGCTAAATTGCCACTCTTCATCTGGGCCTGAGAAGCTCCGAGTGTCAGTGTGGTGAATCATCTTCAGCTTGAGAACTGAGATCACAGAACGATCTGCCCTGATAGTTTTTTTTTGGATGTAGCAATTTATCAATACCTATAGATACTATATAGATACCATTTACCAGCTATTTTGATGTTCACGAGGGGCACAAGGTTTTGACCCATTCCCATGTATTGCAAAAAAATGCAAAAATCAGAGCCCAGTGAAGCAACGGGTTTCACAGCGCAGCATTCAACGTTTTTCCATGAGCGGGGCCTTCATGAGTCATGCCAGCAAAGTCCCTCGAGGGTTTTTTGACGTTCCTTTCTTGAACGGTTTTGAACAGTATCCCAATCTATAATATCAATCTAATTATATCATAAATCCTGCTAGTATATATTGCCATGTTCCCCCATCTTTCCCTTTTTTTACATGATATCCCAGCCAGGAAGCAACTACAAAAGTGGAAGTTTCCTAACGCCTCCGGCGTGCAAATGGGTCACCGACTCTGGATATGTGTCTCAGCTGGAGATGTTTGGCGTTGCACCTGGACCTAAACCCAAACAACCATTCCCATATGCTCCATGCATGGTATATTTACCTACATGACTGGGTGATGTTGTTCTGGCAAATGTTGGTAAATATTCCAGCACCATGGAGCACATGGGATTTGTATCCATTTGTTGTGATTTCTTATATAGGGAACTTTTGATGCCACAGGGAAACAACCATTTGCCTCTGGTTGGCAGTTGCCGTTTTTTCTGGGGTGAATTTGAACATCAGAGTTTTTTGATGTATAGAGGGCCATATACAATGTGGGGCCCCCAAACGATAGCTAAGTTGGGTTATAACTTCAATAACTATGGTTTATGATACCTATAACGAACTAAGTGAATGGGGTTTATAAACCGACAAACATAACTGGGGGGCCCACATTGTAGGTGCATGGTTATCGGATGCCCTCAATTTGCTGAAGATTATGTGTTCATTTTCTTGGAATTCCACTAGGATAATCTATTGGGAATATTGTTTTTTGGGGGGTCCTTAGATAAGCAAATCCAAGATTATCTTCATATGTTGTGAGTTGACAGTATGCTAAACACAGTTGTTTTCGCTACCTGGCCTGTTGTGGGTACCGGTCAAGCGAGTCATGGTCGCTCATGCCGATTTTGATGAGTCTGAAACATGACAAAACATCAACACATAATACCAAAACATCAAACATCAATGCCTTTTTGTCTGATAGATACCTTCTAGCTCTTTATGAAAACAAACATCAATCCCCAAGAAATGCTTTGGATTGGCTGATTTTCCCAACGACGTTGGGCCAAGGGACGGCCTTCCAGCATGACTGAAGGTATCTGAGGATTATTCGACAGCATTGCAACATTATTGTGGTCATGATTCAGAGCCTAGCTGGTTGGTGGTTTGGATCATTTTTTATTTTTCCATTCAGTTGGGAATGTCATCATCCCAACTGACGAAGTCATATTTTTCAGAGGGATTGAAACCACCAACCAGATAGGATTTCCAATTAAAAACGTACCAGTGTTGATTGGTTAATCATAGCATTCTCATAGGGGTTATCATAGGATAACCATATTTGAAGCATCCAACCAGATTATTATTAACTATCATGAACTTAACCATATAATAACCATTAATATATTAACCATTGCATATATTAATAGTATATTACCAACAAATGGTACTCGTAGGTTTTCGAGATGTTTCCAGGATCTCGGCATCATTCGTTACCCCTGCGGTGAGCCAGTTACATTTGCTTGCTTGTTGCTTGGAAATCAACAAACGTTACTAGTCTCCGTTCTCCCCAAAGATTTTGCGATTTTCGAAGCAATGGTAAACCCGGCTCATCTAGCAATCTTACTTGTGCGTTCTGAACGCACGGGAATTTTCGGGAATGATCCATTTCACTAGTAGTGTCATCATCCCAGCACCCCCCAGCAACCCATCCATTCCCTACGTAAAACGCTCCAGTAAGTACTCCATGAGTCTCCATTGGTTTTCTGCAGAAAATCCCTCTGTTGTCCTTCAAATTCTGGTTGGTGGCTTCAAACATTAATCATGGTTTGATAATAGTTAAATATATCATGGTTTAGATAATTAATGGAAACCATATATACTGGTTAATATAAATTATTGTTTAATCATGGTTTAATAATGGTTAAATAATGGTGGTTAAATAATGGTAATGGTGATTAAACAATGGGAATTCAGCCATTCGAATTGTTCAAATATGATATGTTTACTGGTTGTTGGTTTGGAACATGTTTTATTTTCCACAATATATGGAATAATCCTTCCCATTGACGAACTCCATCATTTTGCAAGATGGTTATTGCACCACCAACCAGATATATTATTCATTAGATCAGGTATTAATCACTAATAACCACTATTAACCACTATTAATCACTGATAACCACTATTAACCACTATTAACCACTAATAACCGCTATTAACCACTATTAATCACTATTATAAACCAGATAACGAAAATGGAGTCTACTACCCCGCCACTTTCTCCTCGGGAACATGATAATGATGATAAAACCAGTGGATTCACCTGGCTATGAATGTACGACATTTTCTCAAACAAGCCCATGTGTTCCCTTCAAAAAAAGTAAGCAAAACTAGGGAAAATCACCATTTTTAATAGGGAAATCAACTATTTCGACTGGGGCATTTTCAATAGCTATGTTAAATTACCACAGGGTACCAAACCCAAGCACTCTGGATCTCTCCGAAGCAAAATCAATTTTTGTATTGAATTGTTCCCTGTTGTTTCTTTCAGAAACCCATCCAGTTTATCCATGTTCTTTGTTGGTAAAGCCACATGTTTTTCAGATCCACCAGCTGTTTCCTCATCAGAAATATATCAATTATTTGACTGAAATTCACCTACCCTCTAGTAAACTTAGTAAACTAACATAGCTATTGAACATGGCCATTTAGTTCCTTGATTTAATATATATATATGTATTAAACATTATGATTTTCCATAGCAAACTGTTAGTTTACCAAAGGGTATGTACGGTATGTAATTCACCTATGTGTCAATTGTTTGGTATAATCCCAATTGTTAGGTCAATTGACCATGTCCAATTAATTGGTGTATAACTGTATAATCCCAATATTTTCCTTGAAATTCACCTATGTTTCCGGCAAGATGGTGTCCCCCTAGTTATGTTTGTTGGTTTATAATCCCCATGAATACTATAGTTATATTCCCCATCCATAAACCCGAGATATTGGACTTATTTGCACCAACTTAGCTAACGAACTGAGGCACCACCTTGTATCAATGAATGGTTTAGGAGTCAGCCAGCATTAAATTGGACTTGGCTATGATTATACTACTTGGTTTACTGGGGATTATGATGGGCCCATAGTAAACCGTTTTCAGCTGATGGGAAAAACGGTGTATTTCCAATGGCTCCCCCATGACCGCCATGACCATCCTTGTCTCCGCAAGGCGGATCTCTACGAATGCACGGATGGCCTGCTCTGCAACAGCAGCAGCTGTTGCAATGGCCATGGTGGACGCGCGCGATGTCCACAAGCGATGCCCGTGATGTGTCCCTTGACCTGGGGAAATGGTGGGTAAACCTAGAAATGTGGATTGAAGGACCCTAATCATATGTCGTATGTGCAACTTTCTTTGGCAGGGTAGTGTGTCGAAGTTGGCTCCGAATCCTTTCAGTAGACCACAACAAAATCCCATCATATCCCTTCCGTCTGAAATTGAATACCCATGTGGGACCCCACAATGAAGAGATCCAATACTAAACCAGAGTCTTTGAGGAGGTATTTTATGGTATGTTATATTACGGGGAAGGGCATAGATGGTTTCTACATGATTATACCACTTTGCCCAAGTTATCCTGATTCATCCAGCATTAAGGCCTTCAAGTTAGATTCCGGGAGAGTGCTGGGTGGTGCCAGCTGGTTAAAGGTTGGTTTACAAGCCCAGCTAAGTGTAGTCATAGTTGATATCTGAAAATAGGGAGTATGATCATTTAAGATGGACAGTAATGATTCACCAATGAATGTTTTGGTACAACCCTACAATCCTATATCTATCTATGTTTCATCCATCTATTTGTGTATCTTCAGATCATATTTTAACACATTTTATCCTATCTTATCCTATCTCATCCTATCTACCTACTATCTGGTTATTTAACAGTTCACCATGGAAAGATCCACCCATTTTTAAGCACCATGCTATTAAGTTCGGTAAACCATCTATTTCTATGGGCCATCTATTTCCCATGGCGAACTGTTAGTCAAAACCAGAGGGTAACTGGGAATGTTCCATGAGTCCATGGCTTACTTCCTCTGGCCTCGTGCCACCCCTGGGTCCGGGTCGCCCAGGTGCGAAGAATTTGGATTGCGCTGATGGTCAGGACGCCGTCAAATGTCAAGACGCGCCACAACGGGACACGAGTCCAAAACTGCAATGAAGAAGGTTCTTATTAACATGGTGATGGGCATAATTAATGGATATAAATTAATGGTGATTTAATATATTCCAATAATATACAATGTTTTTTTTTCATGGGAGTCAATGGTGACTTAGTGCTATTTATGATGATTTGGGGGGGGTCCGAAAATCGGGAGACCCCAGTCGAATGACTTGGATGATTTGGGGGTACCCCCCATAGGAAACCCCCATCTGATAGGGCACTTGGTCAATCATCCCTCTTGAAATGGCCATATTTGGGGTTATACCACATTTTCAGACAAACCCGTAAAGTACTAATCTAGCGGCGGCGTTTACGGCGTCGGGCATTGTTGCAAGACCTACGGGCACGTGGCGGAGCATGGACCGTTCTGCACCGGCCTCCGCGCTGGCGCCGGCAAGTGCCACGTCGAGCCGAACGCGACGCCGTCGCCAGCAGGCGTTCCTTCGAGGCCTAGCACACACTATCAAACGCCAGATGAACACAATACCATGGAGCTATGTGTCTGTGTGTGCTATGTTGAATGGTACGAAAATGAAGCTCGTGCTGCGGATTGTTGCGTCGAACGAGCACGGATATTCGAACGACCATCGCGCCGCGGCGATCCTGACGTATCTGGCGTGGAACGCGGCCCCAGAGGCTGGAATCGAATCGACGGACTTATACTAAATGTCATGATATTGATGTGAGAATCATCTATTGCGACCTCCTAGCACTTGGATGTGTTTCTCTCAAAATGCTAGAAAAAACGGCTTAGAATCGTTTCATACGCATTTCTAACTTAACACATTGAATTGTTTTACACATATTATTTTGTTTATTTATATACTTATTATATATATATTATATATATATGATTATACAGTTGTGCTGTTTTAGCCACAGGAGCCGGGGCCAGTACCATACTAATGACAACAGTTCCAATTGCAAGATATGCCAGCTGCCAATCCCAAATGAGTGTACCCCAAAAACGCTACAAAAAAAAAGTGTATATGATGGAACAATGTTGTTATATATATATGCATTATGAAAACCAGTTTGATCAATCAAGGGATGTTTGTATTCAGAGTGGATTTGGGCAGCACGAACAAAGTTGAATTCACCGATTAAGACTTCCAAATTGTCGGGAAAAAACAGATGAGGAGCGAGGCACTGAGCCCGGGGGAACTATATTCCCTACCAGATGGGGAGCAAGGGATATATATATATATATATGAGGGTTTTCATGAATGGGGATACCCCAAAATGGATGGTTTACAGTGGAAAACCATATTTTTTATGAATGTTTATGATACCTATAACTGTTACGGTAACTATAGTTAATTAATGGGGTTTATAAACCATCTTATAACTGGGGGGGCCCACGTTGTAGAGATGTCGGTGTTGAAGTTGCTTTGTTGTTCCATATATGCTCCATATATAGTATATTCTATATTTATCTACATTTGGGCCATTGGTGGGGTAAATGTAGGTAAATATTCCATACATGGAGTATATGGGTTCCACAACCTATTCAATACGTCCTGATGCGAGGCCATGCTTCACTTGAGACAGCAGTCCCCAGGACCGGTGTTGTATGGCTTCGGAAGCGGAGTGTGCCAGTCACAGTGTCTCGACTGGAAAGACACTAGTGTCTTGGGACCCACTGTTCCACAGTCCACTAAGCGATACATGACTCAAGTGAACCTTGATATTGCTATTAAAAACCGTTTTTTTTACTCAAAAACGATTGGTGTATGTTGACAATTTTATGGGTACAGTACATACTGAGGGTCAAGGAAGGCATTTTGGGTACCATCTTGAAAGTTGATTGGAGGGAAACAGAGACATACCAGCAATGCATGCCTGGAACCCAAACAACCTCCACTTGTGGGGTTGGACCCAAAAACAATTTTTTGCAGGTCCTGTAAGGTTCAGTGCGTTCCCTCTCTCTCTCTCTCTGTCTGTTTGATTCTCTCTCTCTCCCTCACTCTCTCTCTCTCTCTCTTGCTTCCCGAATGGATCTGACTCTTCATGATTCTTCTATTCACAAAGTTGCTGATGATCCATCAAGATTACTGTAATCCTGGGGAAAACCTTCGCTGCACAAGGCGGTGTGAGGCCGTGCTTCTACGCGGAGATTCCAGCAAAGGCACCAGCGACTGGCCGGGCCACACACCATTTGAAGCAACATCAACATCAACAACAGTTTAATATAGTTTAATGGGTTTCAACATCAGCATGATAAGTTATATTCCCCATAAACCCCTAAGTTAGTTATATCCCCCATAGTTAGCTAAGTTGGTTTCAACATCAACATGATAATAATAATGAACAACAATATTCACCATAATCATAATAACAATAATTAATCAACATAAACATCAGCATTAACATTGTGTTGAGATGAATCTTAACGGCTTGAAGGTGATTGGATTGTTCCTAAAAGTTTTGTCTAACATTCATTGATGAATCCGTTTGTAATACCAACAATGTAGAGTCCCAACCCTCCAACCTTAATCATGGTTTAATAATGGTTAAATAATGGTAATGGTGATTAAACAATGGGAATATATGGGAATTCAGCCATTCGAACTGTTCAAATATGATATGCTTGCTGGCTGGTGGTTTCGAACATTTGTTATTTTCCATTTCATATATGGGATGTCATCCTTCCCATTGACGAACTTCATTTTGCAGGATGGTTATTGCACCACCAACCAGATCTATTATTCATTAGATCAGGTATTAATCACTAATAACCACTATTAACCACTATTAATCACTATTAACCACTATTAACCACTATTAACCACTATTAATCACTATTATAAACCAGATAACGAACATGGAGTCTACTACCCCGCCACTTTCTCCTCGGGAACATGATGATAAAACCTGTGGATTCACCTGGCTATGTAAATGTAGGTGAGATCTGCCTTCAAACTCAAGCTCAACCAGTTGGATCAGCGCCCGCCGGTGTCAACCTGTCAGTATCCATCATGGTTGCCCTATGCGGCATAGCCTATGCATATGGGTTTTGCGGAAGTCCTATATCATCCATGTTCATCCATTATCATCCATTATCCATTATCATCCATTATCATCCTATCCCATATGCTCCATGTATAGTATATTTACCTACAAAACTGGGCCATTTGTGGGGTAAATGTAGGTACATATTCCATACATGGAGCATATGGGTATAGCTAAACTATTTCCAGCGGCACTCCCGTCGAAATTTAAGTGTCGCTTTGGCACAACGCACCGTCAAAGAGAGGCACCGGTGATCAAGCAGGTGCTTTCGCCTGTTGGGGAGCCAAGGGATTGAACGATTGGTTGGTGGTCTTAGGATGGCTGCGGGAAATTGGGTACACTTATCTTTCCCATATGCAACCCATGGTGCTGGAATATTTACCTACATTTGCCCCACAAATGGCCCAGTTTTGTAGGTAATCATAATTATACTATACATGGAGCATATGGGTTTGTGGATCCATATATTAGAAGAAATGTCTCATTTTCTGTAGTTCTGACAGAAACCATGTGGTAAATAAATGTAAATAACTTTGAGCCGTTACCGTTGCCAAGATGTTTCTTCTCGAAACAAAGAAGATCCAGAATCACAACACCATTGATGGTTTGAAACCTCCACTCTGATGGTTGAGTGATCAATCTTGGGGGATGTAACCGCTGCACCATCAGGTGTGGCTCCGGCAATTCAACTGTTTGCGAATTGGAACATCACCATTCAAAATTATAGATAAGACATGGAACTAGATGGGTCCTGCCTGTTCCATATGTTAAAAATACCAGTGGGTAGTCAGCAAATTGGATGTCACCCTACAAATATTCGCCAGCAAAAGTGTTTAAGGCACCAAGAATCAGGAGTCTTGGCCTGGATTTCTATTCAAGCCTCAATTGGACCTACGGATTGCAATGGCGAACTTATTTTTAGCGGGACTCTGTTCAGTTTCCGCCCCGCAAGTAAGTCCAGTCATTGGCAGTAACATCCCATGGATTTTTTTTGAACATACTTGTCACTGTCTTAGTTCAAGATTGCCATAATTTTGGCCAATAATGTGGTTAAAACAATGTCATAAACCATCCCCCAGTCATCACCAATTTTGATAGGTGGCATGGTTACTATTCCCAAATGGATAGTTGATGGCATTGTTACAAAATAATTTTGATAGGTGGTATAAACCATTCCTAAATCTGGATGGTGGTTTGGAACATTTGTTATTTTCCATAGTTGGGATGATGATCCAATCTGACGAACTCCATCATTTTTCAGAGGGATGGGTCAACCACCAACCAGAAATATTATTCATTAGATCAGGTATTAACCACTATTAACCACTATTAACCACTATTAACCACTATTAACCACTATTAACCACTATTAACCACTATTAACCACTATTAACCACTATTAGCCACTATTAACCACTATTAACCACTATTAACCACTATTAGTACATATATCAACCACATGATTGGCCCAACTTCGGGAGGCGCCTGGGCAACTCTTGGTGCAGTGGCAGCATGCCAGCTACTTGAACGGAGATCGCTCCAGGTGAACTGGCAACTGGAACTGGCAGATGACCAAAGCTGCATGGTATGAAGGTAAAGTCCTTTGTTTCCCCAATTTCGGCTCAACTTCTCTAGTTTGACAGCATGCATTGCTCCAGCAATTTCAATTTAGGACTGCACTTTTGATTGACTTAATATAACTTCATGTTTTGTGCGAAGTTCATAGACTTGTATGCATTATGTATGCATGCGCAGGCCAGAACCTCCCCGGGATTAATCGCATCATAGCCATTTCTGGTAAGTCATTGGGATACATGGGTGTGGCATGGTGTGTCTGAAGGGATATGATATGCCTCAATTATGGCGTTTTTTTTTTTAATATTATTATTATAGGGAACGAGGGAATATGGTTCTCTTGGGGTACCTTTTTTCAGACAAACCCAATGGCATTGGGATAGTAATGGCAATGGGATTACCACAATGTGGACACACGATGGGGGATAATGATGGGATACATATTCAAAGAAACAGCAATGTCAATATATCCCAGTGTATCTCTGTTGTACAGATGATAGATTACCCCAACTTTTATACGTGCTGTGTTTCACCTTTATTTATATGTATATGATCATACGAATTGTTATTTAAGATATTGAAGATCTTATGATCATATCATTTAATATAAACACATGTACTGTATATAAAATTATACAGATACCATATTAATCCATATTATTATAACATGGATCATATTATTATACATTATAATTGCTGGGATCATCTTCCCGCCATGAGACATGTGACTTTAGCCATGAGACTTCACGACTCGCCCTACCACGGTGGCAGGTGCTCCTTCACATCCTGGTGCGGATCGGTAGAGGGGGGCAGAACTGCTGCCGTCTCAACGTCACCACCATGGAATTATATAGATATGATATGCTGCTATATATATATATATATACTATACATATAATCAATTATAATCATATATATATATATGTCAGTATATATGTTTTGTATATATATAATGTTATATGTGTATAAGTTTGGAACGTATGTTACATATATCTTCGCATAGATGTTGTGATTGTGAACATTATAGTGACTCCAATTGCTATCAAAGTCCAAACAATCCTGAAAGAGCTCCCATGTCAGTCCTTCGAAATGCAGGAATTGATATTTTGCTCCGATGATGCTTCTTCCCATTAAGACTGCCAGTTCTGGGGTTAAATAAGACTCCTGGCTGGTCGCTGACAACCATTCTTCACATGTCATCCATCTCTGGAGACAGAATCTACGGATCTTTGTAGCCCCCCAAAACTGAAGAGTAATCAATCAATCAATCACTATTTCATTTTACTATCAAATCCTACAATCAATAGATCAATATATAATTGATTGATTGATTGTAGACAAAGATCTGTAGATAATCAATCAATCACTATATTTCAGTAGGATTTGACTGTTCTATCCCTTTGGAAGTTGCCCAGTCGTGAGGGATGAACTGGCGATACTACTGGGTCCTGTAGCCAGGTATCCTCGCCACCAAAAAAAAGTCGCACGAGATTTCGTATCATATATTGTCATAGATTTCTTTGTGAAAAACTTGAATCAGAAAAGGGACAATTTTTGAATTTCGGAGATAGCAGAATGACTGTGATTTCTCTAAGATTAACAGTCATCTGTTTTTTGTGATACTATGATTGTAATATACCCTCTGGTAAACTAACATAACCAAGGAAAATCACCATGTTTCATAGGTAAATCAACTATTTCTATGGCCATTTTCAATGGCAAACCGTAATAGATTACCAGAGAGTAAATCCCGAATCCCATCTATAGATCCCATTAAAGATCATTTTCGATCCCATTAACCATCTATAGTAGATTTTCATTAATTAATAGTAGATTTTCCACCTATAATAACTAGATTAGCCATCTATAAATATAAATCCCATTAACCATCTATACTAGATTTTCCATTTATTAAGATCCCATTAAAGTCTATTTATCATATTTATCCCATGAACCACTATTTATAGTAGATTGTTCTATCCCATTACCCATTTATAGTGGTGGTTAACTGAGATTCTTTGGTCATTCTTTGGTCGCACTTACTCCAGGCGTGTTGAGGTCACAGAGGATGTTTGGGATGGTGACGATGGTGATGCAGCGTGGCAGTTGGCCAGTACCTGGGCGCCGATGTGACCAATGGAGAATGGTTGGTTCGCATACTTAATTAAGGGAGGTGCAGTTGAGGCGAAAAAACATGGGTATACTTGGTGGCTCACTACCCACGAATCGTAAGTGGGTTATAACCCTACTTTGTTTGGTGGATTAACCACATTTAACCCTACTTATCCCACTTATGACTGGGTTATAATCCACTTACTAACTGGGACGAGCCACCAAGTAACCATGCTATATCAATATAAGCTCTATAACACTAGTTTGTCATATATCCACTTGTAGCTAGAGCTGCACTTGAAAAATCATGAGCCACTAGAGATACTATTGTTGATTGGTTATGAAACGAGGATTTTCTATGTTTATACCAACTGGTTGTTTGGGGATTATGATAACCAATACTGTAATAGTGATATAGTGAGATGGGATTGAAAACCAATATTGGGGAATTAACAGGAATGGTCGTAAATCCATTTCCATAGGGAGTTACAACATGTTATAACCATGATGGGAATGGATTCACCATATGGGATGGATGACACCAAAAAAACAGTAATACAATGTGTTGACCCTGGCAGAAATGGTTGATTCATGCTTAAAATCCCCTGGGATCAAGATGATCAAGGATTTATAAAGTGGTTACTTGATTGTTCATCAATTATTAGTGGGTTAATGATGAGATCTTATGTGGGGATCACACACCTTTAACTGTCCATGAAATTGGGGGATGAGCATCATTGAGCATCCAGAACTGCTATTTTGGTGTAAACACCAAGGTACCACCAGGACTTTATCCGAAAGCCACATCGGATAAAATTGGGACATTTCAGAAAAACCATCAAGAACATACGGGATTGAACGTATTTGGATTTCGATGATTAACATGAACATTGGTGGCTAAATTGCGTTAAGGATTTACCCGTCAACAGCTGGCAAATGTTATGAATCATCCCAAATGGGATTGGCAGCTGCAAGAAGGTCATCAGAGCTGTCAGAGGTTTCTGCCCGATCTGGGTGATTTTGTGCTACTTTACTCACCAAAACAAAAAGCAGGAACAGGAATATATATATATATATATATGTATATGTTATAGGGTATTATATATATATATATATGAATATATGATATGCTTCTTTTGGAAGATGATTGCAACCCCTTTCAAATTCGTTATTTGTTGGGTCCATTGAAGCGTTCTTCTTGAGAAACGTTTTCTGGGATCCAGTTGCTTAAGTCTCATGGCCAACAAAACAAAACGCCAAGGATGTACCGTGGTCCCTCTGGGGCTGCCTGTCAAAAATGGATCAGCTTCATGTTTTGTTCCCCCTCACAAACCTTAAATCATTGTATATCATAGAAAATCATAGTAAATTATAGTAAATTCAACAAAATCATAGTAAATTTAACAAAACCTTCACCAGCAAAAGTATGAAATCACCTCAATGTCGCAACGATGTACCCCTGGTTACTGCGATTTCACCGCCCAGGTGAATGTAGGCACCAGGACCGCCCAGTGACGAGTTGTTTGCTGCAAAACTTGGTGTCCAACAGCAACTACTCAGTGCGACTGCGCGAGGTATGCAAGTTTCCATGGGGAAAGATGGGTCCAAGGGTCCAGGGTGCCTTTGGTTTTCTCAGCGGCTTGAGGATGTGTATATCAAGCACGATATAGCATGATTAGAACATCTACAGTATCTACATCGGTTTGATTCCGTTATAGTTATGGTTTTGTTGCGTTCGTCCAAGTACCTGTAGGCCCAAGCTAAACACCTCATTGCGTCCAACATCACTTTTACATTCAAGTTTTTGGGGGTCTAAGAATCAAGGTTTAAGGTTTAGGCATTTCTTATAATAGGTTTAAGATGGTTTTATTTTGTGTGTTAAGTTTCCATGTTTTTGAGCGTTTATGGCTTTGGGCTCTTTAATGGTTTAGGGTTTTTGGGTGCGAGGCTTCAGGATGATTTGTACATTGATTGAGTTTTTCAGGAATGCTATAGAATTACCCAGTCTTTACGGTGTTTTGAGAGTGCCTCGGGCATTATTTTTTGGTGTTTGGCTTCCACGGTCAAGCGGATCGCGTAGAAAGTGGTTGTATCGTACCTTGACGACCTGTCAGCAGCACAGAGTGCTTGTCTATAGGCTACACTGTTTGTTTGACATCGTAACGATGTTTTATATTGTTTTATCCTAGCGAATTAGCAGACAAGCGCAGAAGTACCATATTTGTATATTTTGCATACAAGATGTAGAAAGGGAATTCACCTTTTCCCGCTGTCTCCAGTACTATGTTCCTGAGTGTCAGACCCCAGGTAGCTGCGTGTACCCAACATCGAGATGTCCAAAAAATCCACTATGGGGGGAGGAACACATGAGTTTAAGCAAGTTCCCATGAGGCGGGTAGATAAATGGGCCAACCCACAAATGAATGGTTGATTTCATGGAAAATCCATCTAGAAATGGATGATTACTGGGGTACCCCCATGACTTAGGACACCTGCGAAGATTCTGATAGTTGAAACCACCAAAGACAGTAAGGACCCCATGGCTTAGCTGGTTTATGTAAAGTAAATATAGGGTTTAATATGATTTCATATGATTTCACTATTGTAATATAGTTTTTATTTTTACCTTTATAACTGGTGGTTTTATACTTATGATATACTAGGTTTCAAACCTATTACTAATAGTAGTTAAACGGTGTACTATGCGCCGCAATTCCTAGTTACTGTCCTGGAATTAAGAAGCGACTTGCCTATCGAGGCGTTTTCCTAAAGCCTGGAAGGTTTACACCTAAATCCGCAGGCATGTACGCGGATGGACTATGACTCAGTCACTTGGTTGCAACGTAGGACCGTGGTTCAACAGGAATCACAATTTGAATAATCAGACTAACGGGGGCTACGCAATCATGAAAGCAAAGACAATTGACAATACTTACAACTACTTACAACCGTCCTCATCAACACCATGGACACCATCAGCATCATCATCATCATCATCACCACCATCAACATCACCATTGTCATGACCACCAACGTATTTGTTGGGGAACTGTTCTCCCGGCTGCTACTGCCTCACAAGCAAAATATGATTTGTGCATGCAAAATACAAACTATTGAGCCATATTGAGCCACAATCAGAATTATCAGTCAGAGTAACATGCTTTGAACAACTATATAATCAGTATGACATTGTTACAACAACATTGCAACTGCTATCATCACAAACCATCGTGGTCCTCGCCCAATCATACTGTGAATTGATCATAAGAGTCATCATGAAACCGCTGGATATGACAACTATCCTCCCAATAACAGGCAGTATTTTCAGAATAATCATCCGATCATCACCCTTTTCATGCTGAAAACAAACCTTTCACGCTGTGACCATATCATTTTTTTCATCACTAGCATAACAAATACATTACCATCATCATCCCACTTCTTATCATCATACTAATTTGGTTGGTGGTTTCAAACATTTTATGTTTTCCATATATTGGGAATGTCATGTCATCCCAACTGACGTTCACTCCATCACTTTTCAGAGGGGTAGGCGAAAAAACACCAACCAGTAATTGTACATTCTCCAAAATATAAAAAATGATCAATCACTATTAACAACTACGAATCACTATTAACCACTATTAATCACTATTAACCACTGAGAATCGTGGTCCTCGCAAAGCACATCACCATAAAAATCACCGAGTCCATCCCAAAACACCAGAGAGTCCACAGGATTTTCATAGGGATTTTCCATCATAAACCATCCAGCTACTGCGGTATCTACCTCCATGGCTTTGTAAACCTCGTCATCATCGTCATCATCATCATCATCATCATCATCATAAGTTGACGAATCTTCCATGATAATCCCATATGAACTGATGATATTGATGAACACGATGCCCAATGTTTAATTATAAATAACCATAAACATCATCATGAATGTCACGACTCAATCACCATAAAATCACAATTCAATCACCATAAAAACAGCATTCAATCACCATAAAATCACCATTCAATCTCCTTCAGTCACCATTATATCACCATTGAAGCACCATGAAATCATCATTGAGTCACCATTCAATCACCATTCAATCGCCATAAAAATCATCATTAAGCCACCGTTCAGTGATCATTCAATCACAAAGCCCTGTGGTAGACGGACTGAGCCTGTGAATCCCTCTCACAGCGTTCTAAAAGAAGCATGAACCATCCTCTGACACTATTCAATCACCATTCAATCACTATAAAATACATCATGAAGTCACCATCCAATCACCATTCAATTTCCATTCAATCACCATTTAAACACCATTAAATCACCATAAAATTATCATTAAGTCACCATTCAATCACCATAGAAGCATAATTAAGTCACCATTCAATAACCATTCAAATCAACATAAAAAACATAATTAAGCCACCATTCAAATCACCATAGAATCATCATTAAGTCACCATAAAATAACCATTAAACCACCTATCTTGCCTTTGGCAAGGACTGGGCCCTGTGGCCTTCCGCGTTCACGTTGCCCACCCCGGCAGCAGCGCCCAGCGCCACCTGTGTGGAGCCAGCAGCCAAGCAGGGCGAAGAAATGCGCATGCAGGCGCTCCTGGTGAAAGCCAGTTCCGGGGTGCAGTTCGGCCCGAAAGACAAGTTATAAGTACAATAATAACACCATTTATGGAATGTATAATCTTACTTATAACCAGTTATGTATCACTATAATAAATGGCAATAACTGTGGTGTTGATTGTATGATGTTGAAGGGTTTTACTTGTTGAACCAAGAAGAATGCTCGAAGATGGTGGTTTCAGCAACAATGAAATGGGTTTTACAATACAAAACCTGGAAAAATATTTGGATTTGCCCTAACCTAAGTAATTTTCCAAACACGGAGTATAGTTTCAAGATTGTCAATCACATTTTAGAAATTGTGTGTGTGTGCGCATTTGTTTTGGTGACAAAAAATGTTCATTGAAAAATACGGACTTGCTTGGATGTGCATCCCAGCAAGTAATTGGATCATAACCCATTTATATATGGCATATTATGGGGTTTCTTAAGATGGGAGATCCCCAAATCTCCATAGGCTTCAATAAGTTTTTTCATGAGCTGGATGATTTGGGGGTAGCCCCATGATTTAGGAAACCTGCATGCTGCATACATGTAACATCATAAAACATTATATATTATATTAGCTCCTTTAAATCAAACGAGTGAGAGTCACAGTTGCTGATGATTATGACGTTTGATTTTTACTCATGTGTGGTTTTCTCCCAATCATTAAAAAAAACACATGGGGTTTTCTCCCAATCATTAAACAAAAACATAAACCACCCCAAACCATCTACCCAACCATACAGCAGGGTGGCCATGGCGGTTTTCAGGTCAGCTGGACTCTGGGAACGCCTGGGGACTGCAGCTTCGAGGCAAGGTGTTTCCAGGATTTTCCAGGTGGCCATGATGACCGCAATGATTTCCTTGGGGAAACGCGAACCAAAATGGTACAATTCGGTACAATCCAAAAATGAAAATGGAACTTTGATGAACTTTGAAAATTGAGGTGGTGTTTTGATCTTCTTGATATTTCTTGATTTCTATATATCTGGTTTTTGATCAATAGAAATGCGGTTAAGATTAATGGTATCCAAAATTTCTATATATCTGGTTTTTGATCAATAGAAATGCGGTTAAGATTAATGGTATCCAAACAGAAAATGGAACTTTGGGAGGTCAAACCGTTGAACCGGAGTGGGTATATGTGCCAGCCACAGAAATATGGTATATAATGATGGAGCATGTTCCAATTCCGATGTAAGTAAAGGCTTTAAGGACAGCCAAAGTAATCGACTTAGGGATACAATGATTCAAATTTTGAACCACGTGTTGGCCCTTTTGACGGATGATGGCGTGTATCAGATTGAGACATTTGGGACTTCGCAGAGAACAAAACCTCGTTCCGACAGTGAGGAGGAGCTGGCTGAAACCTGGGCCGAAGCGTTGAAACAGAAGGACCAGACGCAGACATTGCGTTTCGAATAAATTTTTGGGATACGGTAAGGCAACGCGAGACTAAAGTTCGTCTTCCAATCAAGTCGCATGAAGATAATCATACTTGTTGTGCGACCATTTCCAGTTTCATGGCTGTTGTGGTCGATTTGGAGACGCGGCAACCCAAACTGCTGCTTCAAGCGAATTCAGGATCATATCCCAATACAAGACCTCCCATGTTGGTGGTGGTGGCGTTTGCTCGCCTTTGGTGTGAGGCCAGCGTTTGTTCGCTGGCGTGGTGGTTGCTGGCATTTGTTCGCCTTTGGTTTTGGCGTGCTTGGTTGGTGTCCTTCCTCTCTTGTTCCTGCTTCTGCTCTAGAAGGCCACCAGAAGCTGGCAGGGAGGGCAGCAATGACGTTTCCGGAGCTGAACCTGAGATCTGCTGGAGGAGGTTGTGCCTGTGGACCACGGCTACTGCTGTGAGTCGTTCAACCAAACCAAACCTTGAACCACGTGTTTTTTTTGCACCAAGAGTCGTCTCTTTGTTTCACCCGTTAATTACAGAAAATTCCTTTGGGAACCGGCGAGGCATGGGAAATCTATATGCAGCTGTTGCCCAACAGCATGACCAACCCAAGCGCTAGTGCCTGGATGTTGGCGTGTCGAAGCAACCTGCTGCAGGCTGGGCGGCTGGGATTCAGCGGCCAGCGGCTGACGGCCGGCCCACACAGGTGGCTGATATCATAGAAATGGGATGATGATCCTCAATGAAGAGTGTAAAGCTTGAGGGGGGTAGCAAAAAACAACAAACCAAAGTAGTTACTGTATTTCTTAAGTATCATATTCTTGCTTGTATGATCAATTTGCACGGTTGGTTCTGCTTCTTAACCCCATGGTGTGAGGGTAAATCTGCAGAAAACCAATGATGTTCTTAGCCAGCCGTGACTTCCTTTGAAGTTTCCCTGGCACTTTGCCTTGGACCCTACTTGTATTTGGGTGTGCCAAAAACAGGGAATGCACACAAGCGGCTTGTGGAGAAAAATGATGACCAATCATGGGATGTTGAAAGTTTCCCTATTTTCAGACAAATGCATACTTAAATAGGGTTTCAAGCGGGTGAACTCATGTTAAATCACATGTTTAAATCCCAATGTTTGTTGCTTGAATCCGCATTTTTGTGTTTTTTTCCTGTATTTCAATGTATATTCCCATTATATCCCAGTATAGTCCAGTATATTCCCACCATTTTGGTCAATAAAGTCCTCATTTTTTGGTGTCGATCCTGGTGAACCAGGATACCAGCTGCTACGTGGACTCTTTACTCAGTGGTCGTTACTACGGTTTGCGTATTCGACAGGCCCGGCTGAGGGTATTCAATGGTGAAATTACCAGAGAGTAGTGTACAGTAACAATTCAACGAGGACTCTAAGGTAATAAGGGGAATAAAAACTGGCAATGTATTGGGGATGATTTTTCTTGTAAATATAGATCTTGCAATATAGACTTAAATGGCTATGAGTCAAAACCATTCAAAACCTTGGTACCCTAGCGAACCCAAAAATAGCTGGCAAATGGATCTTCATCCGCCCCAAATACGTGAAATATATATATATATATATGTTGATACATCCCCATATAGACAAATGAGCAGGGTTCAAAACCCCTGTTGGTTGTATATATATATATATCACTATAATATAATATAATATAATATAATATAGTATATTATAATATAGTATAATATAAAATATAATACAATATATAATATATAATATAATATATAATATAATATATAATATAATATATAATATAATATATAATATAATATATAATATAATATATAATATTATATATAATATAATATATAATATTATATATAATATAATATATAATATTATATATAATATAATATAATATAATATAATATAATATAATATAATATATATATATATATGCGATTATACTATCCAAGATACTGGCGACAATCATAATCATTCATAATTAATCTATATGGGGAATCCCTATAGTGTACATCCACTATAATCGAATGGTGGTATTAGAATGGTAGATGGTATTGGACACCGCTCGAGTCGGTTCAAATATGGTTATTTGGTCAAGCCATTCGGATCATGGAGATGAAAGGAACATTTTTTTTTGTGGGGGGGGGGGTGATGATTTTGATCCATATACCCACGTTGGTACATGAAGAAGATACTTCCGAAGACTTCCCGGTAAGATGTCTTGACATATTTTGATGTTAAGCACTTGCAAAGTCCACGAATCATTCAAGACCACATCGGTTGGTTTTATTTCAACCTCGCAGCAGTCCTTGGAATGTCCTGGGCAATTGGTTGGACTGACAGCTTGGTTGCCTTCTCCACAGGATTTTCATGTGCGTTCAAGTGAAAAGAAGCTTTGGCGAATGTCCAGAATGTCCACTGTCCACCGGTTTTGCTTAGATCTTATGATCTTATGACTGGTTTGTGGTTTGGATTTTTTTTCCATATATTGGGAATGTCATGTCATCCCAACTGACTTTCACTCCATCATTTTTCAGAGGGGTAGGGCTCAACCACCAACCAGTTGTATTGTTCATTAGATCAGGTATTAATCACTATTAACCACTATTAACCACTATTAACCACTATTAATCACCAATTACCAACCAGTTAGTGTATTCAACCATTGATTTTTTTTTGTGTTTGCAGGTTTTACAGATCTTCTCAGCCAGGTCTGTGTGAATCCAGCCGCCAACAGTGCCTACTCCGAGTTGACAGGTGCGATTTTTTTGACTTCACCATCCAGAAATGGTGGCGGAAACAATGGCATCCAAAGTTTGATGATGTTTGATGATGTTTGATGGTTTATCATTCTGATTTCAGTTTTCAGTTATTGTTTTATTGGTACAGCATGGCATACCCTATTTTCAGACAAATCTTAAGAGATTCTTTGGCCATTGCTTATTTAGCGATATCCCTCTTTGAAGCAACCTCATGTGCTGGTTACGCCAGGAGACGTCACGGCGTTCATCAGGGCACCTAAGTGCTGGTTTGGTACAATCCCCGGTTGGTTGCAATGCCCCCTTTGATACAGCATTGATTGACAGATTTTTGCACGGAGTTGTGATTGTGATGGGTTATAACATGTATTGACTATTGTAAGTTACTAATATTCACACCTGTTGTTGTATTCTAATAATTATTGTAACTTATTGGGTTTTCTGAAAACACTATTGTAAAATAATTACCGTATTTACATTAAACATGTTATTTAATTGTACTGTATTGATCTACAGTTATCACGTTCTTTTGCCAAAGGCGTTTTCACATTTCACCGGATGAATCCCAGCGTGGGTCGGACTTTTTTGCCGATGTTTGACCATTGAATCTATGATTTGCTGTAGAGTTTCCCTAAACGAAATGGATGGATTCATTGGATATTCCTTAATATTCATAGATCCAATTCAACTAATGGATTAATATGTTATTGATTCTTATTGAAGAAACTCATGGATTATACATGTTAAGCCTAAGAACCATGATTATTCGTATATGATGAGTTATTGAATGAACCATACATGGCTTATCATGGTTTATTCCATAGTGATTCTTATTGAACCATCATTCACAGAATTGGATGATGGGAAAATTTACAGGAAACCCCTATATTTGATGGTAAAACCCATGGTTTCCTGTAGATTTTCCCTTAATCAATCAACGGGTGACGGCCCCGAAGGCAGCGAATGCCTGGTGACGGCCATGCCGGCCAGCAGCCCGGTGAACCTCACGGCGGTCAGTTGCTTGCCGTCAGCTGTTTGGGGCTTCAGTGAAAAAAGCCGGGGTTTTCATAGGATGTTCATAGGATTATCAACATACAAAAAACTATGGAAAATCACCATGTTTTAATGGGAAAACCATGGAAAACCATAATGTTAATGGATATTATGGTGATTTCTATGGGATTTTTATGGGATATTATGGTGGTTGAATGGGGTTTAATGGGATTTACCCTCTGGTAATTTAACATAACTATGGAAAATCAACATGTTTAATGGGTAAATCAACTATCAATGGCCATGTTTAATAGCTATGTTAGATTACCAGAGGCTAAATTCCATAAGAATCCCATCTATAGATCCCATGAAAAAGTCCATGTTCTATGCCATTTTCCATCTATAAATAGCTGTTTGGTGGTTTCAAACATTTTGTTATTGTCCATTTCATATATGTGATGTCATCCCAACCCCATTGACGAACTCCATCATTTTCAAGATGATTAAAACCACGAACCAGATAGGATTTCCAATTAAACACATACCAGTGTTGATTGGTTAATCATAGGGGTTTATATGGCCCATATGCAACCCATGATAATATATATATAATATAATTATACACTATATATATATTATAATATTTATATTTCGGTTTTGTAGGTAAATATACCCGCACCATGGAGGATATGGGATGGGATTTCCTTTTTGGAGTTTTGACCTTTTAAAAGGGGATGAGTGGAAACCTACTACCATATATTGCCATCTACCAGCTATTTGGAGCTTCACTGGGGTTTCTGCGGAGAATGCAATCCTGGATGAGAATCAACCAACAGGTATTTTGAACGCTCCACTTGAAGAACCCTAGTTATTGTAGCTACAAATCAACTACCAATCTTGGCGGCCCCCCTTTTGGAGCGGAACAGGTCAATGGGTTCAAGATTTCAGTCAATTTCAGTAGGCAATCCCTTGGTTGGAGAAACCCATTTTCAGACATGGCCATATTCTATACCCACTACATCCTGAGTTTGCTGCTTTCCAACCAGTCCAATTCCTATCAATTTGACACTTGTATACTACAGCCACCACAAACGAAACTGCAAACATTTGCACATGTTTGCACATTGTTGCCCCTCTAAGATTCACATTTCAGATATTTGAAGTGCAACCCCCTTGCATTTTAAGTGACATCCAGAAGAAGTGCAACCATCATCAACCATCACCTTTCATCAGGGGTCAGATTTGTGGCGTTTCCCAAGGTATCAGCCCGTACGACGTGGACGTGAACTGGGCTGCCATGCATCCCTGGGTGACTTGCCTTTAAATGATGGCGTTATCGGGCGGGTTGATTTCTAGCACTAGCTACTCAGATATATGATATATACCCACTTTGTCTCAGTTGATGTTCACTCTATTCTCAGCTATAGGAATATAGGACATGCGTAATTTCAAAAGGTACAAGGTGGGGCACCCCGTTTACGATAGCTAAGTTGGGTTATAACTTCAATAACTATGGTTTATGATACCTATAATTACCTATAGTATTCATGGGGTTTACAAAACTGGGGGGGTCCCACATTGTACATCAGAGACGGCAGCCCCCAGAAAGGCTGATGCGCCATCAACCTATCATACGAAATACATCTAAAAACTATATCATATGATTCATATGAATCATATTTTACATATGAAATACATACTAGTATAATCTAGTAGATAATACAATACAATATAATATAATATAATATGATATAATATGATATAATGTAATATTTTATTATATTATATTACACTGTATATACTCTCTAGGGAACAAACGTATCCACTTTTTTGTGGATTTTTTTTTTTGGGGATACGTTAGCTGCTGTGAACATAGGCTATGATAAATGCCCTATACTTGAGACGTGTTAGCTGAAAGTCCAGAATGGACATGTTAGTGGGAAAGTGGTCCCCCCTCTGGGGGTTCCCGGGAAACTGCCAGAAGACTACCGCCCCGGACGCCCCAGCATCCTTATTTCCAGACCCCAATAGGGCTCAAATCAAAGACTGCATTGATAACAAAACGGTGGAGAAAAAAGGGGTCCCAACTCCTTCCGGAAGAGCGCATCATAGATGATGCTCGTAGGTGGGCAGGAAGATTGGGGGTGCATTCCAGAAACCAGTTGCATTTACTAAGGGTTGGATGACTGGCCATGGAAAGCGTCCACCTAACGTGTCCGTGTTCTTCAGAGGATGTGGTTTTGAGATATGTGAGTGGTTATTGGCTGAATCCATCCCCCAAAAATAGCGAACATATCCCAGATCAGGGTCGAAATCCAAGGGCCCCAATTGCAGGAACTGAGACATGTTAGCTGTTTTTGGGTCAATGGTCCCAAAAAAAGTTGCAATGCATTCCCCAGGAAATCCAGGAAAACGCCAGTACAGAGTGGACATGTTAGTTGATACCTGAAACCGTAGCCCGAGACACGTATCCACTTTTTTTGTGGAAAAAAATTGGATAGCTGCTGTGAACATAGGCTATGATAAATGCCCTATACTTGAGACGTGTTAGCTGAAAGTCCAGAATGGACATGTTAGTGGGAAAGTGGTCCCCCCCTCTGGGGGTTCCCGGGAAACTGCCAGAAGACTACCGCCCCGGACGCCCCAGCATCCTTATTTCCAGACCCCAATAGGGCTCAAATCAAAGACTGCATTGATAACAAAACGGTGGAGAAAAAAGGGGTCCCAACTCCTTCCGGAAGAGCGCATCGTAGATGATGCTCGTAGGTGGGCAGGAAGATTGGGGGTGCATTCCAAAAACCAGTTGCATTTAGTAAGGGTTGGATGACTGGCCATGGAAAGCGTCCACCTAACGTGTCCGTGTTGTTCAGAGGATGTGATTTTGAGATATGTGAGTGGTTATTCGCTGACTCTATCCCCCAAAAATAGCGAACATATCCCAGATCAGGGTCGAAATCCAAGGGCCCCAATTGCAGGAACTGAGACATGTTAGCTGTTTTTGGGTCAATGGTCCCAAAAAAAGCTGCAATACATTCCCCAGGAAATCCAGGAAAACGCCGGTACAGAGTGGACATGTTAGTTGATACCTGAAACGGTAGCCCGAGACACGTATCCACTTTTTGTGGAAAAAAGCATTGAATACGTTAGCTGCTGTGAACATAGGCTATGATAAATGCCCTATACTTGAGACATGTTAGTTGAAAATCCAGAATGGACATGTTAGTGGAAAAGTTGTCCCCCCCTCTGGGGGTCCCCGGGAAACTGCCAGAAGACTACCGCCCCGGACGCCCCAGCATCTTTATTTCCAGACCCCAATAGGGCTCAAATCAAAGACCGCATTGATAACAAAACGGTGGAGAAAAAAGTGGTCCCAACTCCTTCCGGAAGAGCGCATCATAGATGATGCTCGTGGGTGGGCAGGAAGATTGGGGGTGCATTCCAAAAACCAGTTGCATTTACTAAGGGTTCGATGACTGGCCATGGAAAGCGTCCACCTAACGTGTCCGTGTTGTTCAGAGGATGTGGTTTTGAGATATGTGAGTGGTTATTGGCTGAATCTATCCCCCAAAAATAGCGAACATATCCCAGATCAGGGTCGAAATCCAAGGGCCCCAATTGCAGGAACTGAGACATGTTAGCTGTTTTTGGGTCAATGGTCCCAAAAAAAGTTGCAATACATTCCCCAGGAAATCCAGGAAAACGCCGGTACAGAGTGGACATGTTAGTTGATACCTGAAACGGTAGCCCGAGGCACGTATCCGCTTTTTTTTGTGTTTTTTTGGATACGTTAGCTGCTGTGAACATAGGCCATGATAAATGCCCTATACTTGAGACATGTTAGTTGAAAATCCAGAATGGACATATTAGTGGAAAAATTGTCCCCCTCTCTGGGGGTTCCCCGGAAACTGCCAGAAGACTACCGCCCCGGACGCCCCAGCATCCTTATTTCCAGACCCCAATAGGGCTCAAATCAAAGACCGCATTGATAACAAAACGGTGGAGAAAAAATGGGTCCCAACTCCTTCCGGAAGAGCGCATCATAGATGATGCTCGTAGGTGGGCAGGAAGATTGGGGGTGCATTCCAGAAACCAGTTGCATTTAGTAAGGGTTAGATGACTGGCCATGGAAAGCGTCCACCTAACGTGTCCGTGTTGTTCAGAGGATGTGGTTTTGAGATATGTGAGTGGTAGTTATTGGCTGAATCTATCCCCCAAAATTAGCGAACATATCCCAGATCAGGGTCGAAATCCAAGGGCCCCAATTGCAGGAACTGAGACATGTTAGCTGTTTTTGGGTCAATGGTCCCAAAAAAAGTTGCAATGCATTCCCCAGGCAATCCAGGAAAACGCCAGTACAGAGTGGACATGTTAGTTGATACCTGAAACGGTAGCCCGAGACACGTATCCACTTTTTTTGTGGAAAAAAATTGGATAGCTGCTGTGAACATAGGCTATGATAAATGCCCTATACTTGAGACGTGTTAGCTGAAAGTCCAGAACGGACATGTTAGTGGGAAAGTGGTCCCCCCTCTGGGGGTTCCCGGGAAACTGCCAGAAGACTACCGCCCCGGACGCCCCAGCATCCTTATTTCCAGACCCCAATAGGGCTCAAATCAAAGACTGCATTGATAACAAAACGGTGGAGAAAAAAGGGGTCCCAACTCCTTCCGGAAGAGCGCATCATAGATGATGCTCGTAGGTGGGCAGGAAGATTGGGGGTGCATTCCAGAAACCAGTTGCATTTACTAAGGGTTGGATGACTGGCCATGGAAAGCGTCCACCTAACGTGTCCGTGTTCTTCAGAGGATGTGGTTTTGAGATATGTGAGTGGTTATTGGCTGAATCCATCCCCCAAAAATAGCGAACATATCCCAGATCAGGGTCGAAATCCAAGGGCCCCAATTGCAGGAACTGAGACATGTTAGCTGTTTTTGGGTCAATGGTCCCAAAAAAAGTTGCAATGCATTCCCCAGGAAAACGCCGGTACAGAGTGGACATGTTAGTTGATACCTGAAACGGTAGCCCGAGACACGTTTGTTCCCGGGAGTGTAATAGATATTGATAGAGTAGTACATAAGGACATGCTCAGCTGTTCATACATGTTCGATCTGTATAAAAAAAAATCTATACCTAACAGCCAGCTGAGTTTCGCATCGCCGCTCAGGCGTGCAGCTTCTATGCATGGCAGGCCTGGCTGCCAGGGACTCCCCCTATGGATTCACCAAAATAGATACTGTAGAAACGTTGCACACCTGGAAATTGTGCGCAAAACTTCTATTTTTTTTGTTGGTGTAACAGAAGGCTTCTTGCAACAGATTCCACAGCTAGTAAAGTGATATCTCTAGCCTAAAATCGCTGGTGAATGGATGTGTATTGCACCAAATATGTTTTTTTTTTCCGGTTTTGACCCATCCCCAGGTCGCTCGGCTCTCTCCTTCCGCAGGTCCAGGTAAAGGCCCAGGCAGATGACAACTGGGAAGCCTCCGGTTTTGGTCCGGAGATCCAGAGGATGGTGCTGGAGATGAATCTGGGTACCCTCTGGTAAACTAACATAACTATGGAAAATCACCATTTTTAATGGGCAAATCCACTATAAATGGTCATTTTCAATAGCTATGTTAAATTACCAGAGGGTAAATTTCATCACGACCTCACTGCGACCGAAGCCTGGAATCATGGCTAATAATGGAAATCATCCTAAATGGCCTTAATTCAGCTTAGTGAAATATTATAATTTACCCAGATGAATTGATCATGATGGATTCATGGCGGTTCTTTTGTGATCTCGGAATCTGAGTGAAATCCCATGAAAAACTGTGCCTAAAAATGTTTTTCGAACCTTCAAAGCTATCTGGTAAATGCCAATGATTTATGAAATAAGAGACTTAAAAGCTTGGAACCGATCTAGAATGCGGACCCAGATGTAATTAATTACATGGGTACATGTCGGAATATTTAGAGAGGGGAGAGGAAGGTGGATGTTGACAATTTATTTTTCAGGGTTGCACAATAACTGGGGGGAGGATTACTTGTGCAGTTTAAAAAAAGAAAAAACAGTTGGTTGATGATTAGTTCGGGGGTTCTACTACCCAATATAGTTGTGATTATCATACTCCATGTTCAATGTTTATCCATTTTAAACTATCCTATTTTTTTTAACCAAGCAGTCCCAGGGGATGGCTCAGCCATGATCGTGAGAGCTTGCAGCGACTCTATCTTGAGAAATGTTATCCTTTTGAGTTAAAATGGTAATGGTACCATTAATATACATCCATTTACAAACCAACTGTTCTTGGATATGACTTGGATCTGTTCACCTTTTTTCACGTGTTTCGCAATGCCAAGGTTGCTTTAGCTATGATCGTGATGTTGCCAACTGCACTGCAACTTTGAAGCAAACTGGCCGGTCTCGGCGGTCTTCTCACGAAGCCTGAAAAATCTGTAAACGGGATCATGTTCTGCATTGGTGCAACAAGGGTACGGTGCCAATGGGGTGGTTTCTTGACTGAGAGAGAACCACTTTTTTTGATACCTTTTGATTCGATCGGTCAAGTCTTTGTCAGATTTCTGGTTCACAGCCAAATGGTTATGTTACCCTGGTCTGAGAATCTGATATGCTCTTCGTTGATTGCAGATTGTAGCGGTCACTGTTGTCTCTTGCTTTGCCAAGACTAGCATACTGGACAGTAACTGTAGCTGGTATTGGGATATCATAAAGAATAACATCACGTATCACAGAAAAAGATGCAGACATGGTGACACATGAAGTTGTTTTTTTTCAACTCAGGTCCTAGGTCCACATATATGAGATATGAGTCATTATGATTCCCATCAATGGATGATATTTTAGTCCAAGATCATGGGGTCTACCAGTGTGCCCAGTGATGACGCGCCACCAGCGTCATTTCATAAGCCCGGGCTGAAAAAATCCTGGCTGATTTCTCTTATATAATGCACATTTTTATACATTTTTATCATCGTGTTTTTCTTCTAAATGTGTTTGTTTTTCCTAAGTTGAGGATGTCTTCCATGTTCCATCGCCATGTGCAAATGATTCCGTGTGGCCAGCATCGATGCCATTGGTGTGTTGGTTTGCTTCCGAGGTGAACGTGGGCTTGGGAAGCAACACACCTTACGACGTGCGAGTGTATCTCGGTGGCCGATGGCGGCATGGCGTTTGAAATGTGCCCCACTTGTCCAGGGGATCAAAGGGATAACAAATATGTGATATAATGATATATAGTATAAATATACATCCAATCAGCAAGGCACATTCTCAAACCCAGGTGTTTTGGTGTATGTGTGAGGTTATGTTTTGAAAGTTATTGGGATTCCAGGCTGGGCTCCAGAATTCTTGGAATTGTGGCCTACGCTTGGGATGTCCAGCACATGCTGGGGTCATACAGTCATACCTCAATACTATTTGCCAATAAAAAATCAGGTGGTCTTTTGATTATTGGTGATTCTACCGTCACTAAAATATTCTTGTGCTTTTCTCATTGTCTGTCGAATAAGAACACCTTGTCGTGGAGACTTCGGAATCACCCCACCAACAACTTGATCAAGCAGCGGCTACATCAGTCAGCTAGAACTGGGCTTTTCTGTATTTGGACATGATGGTGACCTTTGACTTCCGGGAGTATTCGAGTCCATGATAAATAAATGGATAGCTGGACAGACATTGGATAGATGGATAGATAGATGGAAGGTGGATAGATACAGTCGATGGATTGACTGGTTGATAGATAGACTGAGCAATAAATCGATGAGTTTATCAGTCAATATGTAGAACTGTAGAACCATAGATAGATGCCATGTTTGAGATGTCTTGGCATTGATTATTGGCTCTTCATTTTCTTTATACCTACATTCTTTCCTTACTGACTATGTATACATACTTACATATATTTATACAGTATTTATATATATATATGTAGACAATGTCCGTGTCAATATATATATATTATACATATACATACAGCATGCGCATTCACATATATATATATATATATATGCACTTACATACATCCATATGTATGTATATATATACATGTATGTATATATATACATACATATTATATATATATATATTGAATATGTACTGTATATATAATTAATATACATAAAGATACATAGAGACTAATCATCACTTGACTTTCTCAACTTGCCAACCAGCCACCCAAAAATGTGAGGCGCGAGACTTGTTTGGAGTCGACGTTGAACTCCAGTTGGTTGCAGCTGGCCTTCCCTGGCGCCAGGACACCCAGGGCGCAGGAGATTTCAACCGAGAAATTCAGGCAAAGATGCAGGTAATGATTGGTAAATGGGATGGTTAACGGGTGACACTTTCAATGTTGGGTCGCCCTTCACTTTTGGGTCAGCCAGTCAGCCTTTTGCAAAGTCTGGGGGTGGCTCAATCAGATAGAATATATATTTTTGACTATGTTGCTTCAGTATGATTGGTCACTTCCTGATCTTCCTGACGTTTCCAGATCATTTGGTTCAAAATTCCTGGTTCCAATATTTCCAATATTTCCAGTTTAGCACTTTGACACACTGGCTCAATCCCTTTGTCTAGCAGCTACGTACTGAGAATCTATCTGAAAGAGGTGGGGTTTTCGTATCCCGGAATTGCAAGATCACCAGTACTGTTATTGTTTCAACAAAGATTGGTTGTGGTTTGATATATCTGTTTCGTTGAATCCCGATGTGTGTCCTTGTTCGGCCTGATTTTTGTCTAAACCACGTGCTTGGATGATCCTGGAAGCAAAAAGTCGCGGTCAGTATTTTACACCAGTTACTAGGCATATCTAGGCATCCACGAACAACGATGATTACCCCAAAAAAAGCACCGTTGGGCAAACCCCAGCTTCAAAATTTGTTTGACTCAGTGATACTTCCAGGATCATCAAACATAGCCATGCAGTTGGTTCATGCTTGGAAACGTTTGAATACTTGACCGAGATGTTAGCTAGATAATACCTATCCTGAGGTTAGGAGCTAAGTTAGCTAAGGCAGCTAAGGAATCAAGGGCATACGGATACGTAAATTCCCGAACAAAAAATGATGTTGTGCTCCTCAGTTTCAAGTGAGTTTATAACCCTATCTAAGTATAGCCCAAAAACCTTAATTGTTTTTTTTGCTATCTACAGGGTAAGATAGCTTTACAGGGTTTAGGGTTCCTAGAAAGATAGTGGGTAGCTAGAAAATAGAAAAGTGGGAAAACCTGGGAAGTGCAGATCATCAGCCCAGGTCAGCACGCCGCTCCCGGTGACAGCGGAGACGCCAACGACGCTCACGGTCAGCAAGGTGACCAAACTGGGAGCCTCGGGTTCACTAGGAACCTATCAGGCTTTATCATGCCATCAAGGAGATCCCTATGTTTTCCCAGATGGTTGAGTATAACTGGTTGGTGGTTTGGAACATATATTTTTCTATATATTGGGAATAAGAACCCCAACTGACTAATATTTTTCATTATTTTTCAGAGGGGTAGGTATACCACCAACCAGATAAGCATTGGAATGCCTATAGCTCCATTCCGAGGTGGAACACTGCGGGATAATTGACTTTGCATTGTCCAGAATGGGCATAACGGCATACCCTCTGGTAATTTAACATAGCTATTGAAAATAGTCATTTATAGCGAGTTTTCCCATTAAAAATGGTGATTTTCCATAGTTATGTTAGTTTGCCAGAGGGTAACTATCAATGGAAGATTGTCACTACTGTGAAATATCAACACATATTCCCCAAGAGTTCACGTTCACCAAGGTGGGGAAATGAATCTATGATGATTGGCATCCATCAGAGTCATTATGGTTCAATATATGATGACGATGATGATGAGGTTTACTGAAGGACACTGTATCATCATGAAGAACAATTCTAAGACATTTGCTCTATGGATCCATTGGTACCTTCTTAGGGGTAGGATTTAGGTGCCTTCTCAGCAAGTCTTTGGAGTGCGGCCAGCTATGGTGATGTGCATGGTCAAAACGCATATTTTCTTCGGGTCCCTGCTTCCCACCGTCCAACGACGATGAATTTATAATCTCTCCCCCTGATAATCACCCCAAACAAGACATTGCAAGACATTGTCTTTATTGGGGGATGCACTTATATTTGGGACCATGACGAGACGTGCGTCCTGCTTCGAATGAGTGAAATCCCAGTTTTTTTCTTTGCATCGGCCAGGGTGGGTATATGTTCTTGGTGTCTTCCAGCTGCAGCTTTGCTTCAGACCAGCAGACGAGCAGCAGGCTATCTGAAGACCTCGGAGCCCGCAAGAACAGTCGTGAGAAAATTCTGGCTGCAAGGAATCGAGGTAAAGCTGGCTAGCGGTAATGAGGGCCGGATCACTTCAATCTCACAATGACGTCAGCATACAGATCATGTTTAGTAGCGGGAATCATCATGATTGTCCCCAGATAGTATGATTATGTTTAGTTTGGTGATAAAGATCATGATAAAGATAATGATAAAGATTATGTTTAGTAGCATTAGTTCAGTTTGGTAATGCATCATGATTTGGCCGGAGAGTTTGACACTGGGGTACCCTAAAGATACTGTGCTTCATCATCATGTTCCCAATTGAAGTTGCCGTAAAATACTGCTTCAACAGACACCAGTAAACTGTAATTGTACTGTAACATTTTCCCATTGCTTCACCATTGGAAAGTTAGGTTGTGTTCCCATTGCTGTTACGTAGGATACCTGTCAACAAATCCCTAGGTATCCCCAATGGTATAGTAATGTATCTTCGCATCACATGGATTTGTAGGAACATGAAATACCCAACAATTAGATACAATTAGATGGTTTGTCATCATTTTGCGTATTGAAACCACCATGTTGGGGTATTATTCATTTTTCAAACAAAATCAATCAATTAAAAATGTCGGTGGTTATAAAATATATAGCAGAATCTCCTTATTAGATTTCATTAAGTCCCAAAAAATTCCAGATTCCATTAAATCCCATGATATCCCATGAAATCTCATTAAATCCCGTTGAAATCCCATTAAATCCAATGACATCCCAGTGAAATCCATTTGAGATCCTAGTGAAATGAAATCCCATTCAATCCTCATGAAATCTCATTGAATCCTCATGAAATCCCATTGAATCACTGATGCTTATATAAAGATCTAACTTATATATAATATAATCTATAATATAAATAAATATATAATAGTGTATAATATCAAAATATAATAATCTATATAATATTGTATATATATATATATGTATCAATAGATTGACAGACAGATAGATCGATAGATTGATAGATAAATCCATTCCCACCCTTCCTAAAACGCCTCGCCACGGAAGGTCTCTGCCTTCGAACTCCGCGCCACGTGGCACCCGGCAAGTTCGGGCGATTGCATCTTCAGGTGGGGCTGGCGGCTGGTGAAATTTGGAGGAGGAAAACATAGGAAAACCATGGGATTTCCATGGGATTTTCATGGGATTTTCATGGGATGTTCATGGGATTTATCCATGTTTTTGGATATAACTATGTTCAAATCAGTGTTTTGGAGAGTTTTTATGGATATAGCCATATAGCCATGATTTACCAGCTATGAAACTGTGCAACGAAGATCCAAAAATGAATGTTGCAAATGGAATGGCGCGCTCGGATTCTCAATCGAAACTAAAGATTTGCAAGAACCCAACCTGGGAATTTCATGAAATAAATCAAGGCTGAACCAAAGAATATGAGAATGGAACCAACCAAAGTTGGAAATGCATCATGCAAGACTGACATTTGATATTAATTTGATAACATAGGGAATGAACATAGGGAATGAATCAACAAAGGGAATGAACATACACATGAAGATCAATTTCCGAATCAACCTAGGGAATCGGTTTATGTGATCCTTAATTTGATCAAATTGTTCTGGGATTTTACAAATGATGCCATGGTATTTTTTGAAAAATGCAACCAACAACTGGATGGATCAAAATCAAATGGATTCAACCAATCAAACATGGGAATTTATCCAACCAGCATGGATATGTTTCATCACAATTTGATATGGACCATTGACCTGGTGAGTGGCTAAGGAATCATAGATTACAACTGGGATATGACGAAATGCTTTTTTAAACATGTTAATATTTCCGACTCTTAACATTTAGAATCCTGATTATTTTTTTTTGTAAAATGTGTCGTATCCATTTTGTCAGATTGTTTGCAAAGGAGATACCCCCAGACCCACCGGTTTGTTTCATGGTTTATCATTTTTTTACTTGTTGAAATGACAATGAAAATTCCGGTATACCGGTATACCCATTTTCAGCCACACCCACCAGGAAAAAAACAATTTTTGAAGGGTTGCTCAGACCTCAACTCTGGTGATTTGAGTTGCTTTGAATTCCTGGATGAACCCACAAGATACCTGCATGGTGGGTGTTATACGCGGATAAAATTGTTTTCCAATCGTATATGGTGATTAATGGTGATCATGATCTCAATTTACTTTCAGGTTTATGTTTCAATGGATGATACGTTTCCGGGATTGGTATTGTTTCTTCGAAGCCTTGGTTTTTCCCAGCAAAGCTTGGGGGGAAATCTTCCCCACTGCAGTTCGTGGGAAGTGCTGATCCTGTACCCCGACACTGTGACGACGGAGGCGACGCTGCCAGGGGCAATGTGTTGATAGTAAGCGGCCAGGCCAAAAAAAGAAGGGTCCTTTCCGAGGAGAAGTGGCCAAAAACAACTGGAATCGAGACGAACATGGAGCGGTGTTTCATGGTGTTTCCTATGTTGTTAAAACATCTGGAAAACATAATCTTAAACATGTTGAATTACAGCACTCTCACACCGCAGCTGTGTGCTTTATCTTGAGCATTTCTTGGATAATTTTCCAATGTTCTTCGAACTACACATAGACTGTACATATGGACGATTCGTGGACAAGACTTGGAGTCTACTTGACTCAGAATATAGCAGCCCCACAACCCTAAATCTATTATCCAGATTCTAGCCTCTGGTAATTTAACAGTTTGCTATTGAACATTGTCATAGAAATAGTTGATTCATGTTGATTTACCCATGAAAAAAGCATGGTGGATCTTTCCATCGTTTTTTGTTAACGTTTATCAGGCCGGGTAAATCCCATTAAATCCCATTAAACCACCACAAACCAGAGGGTAGCTATGACGTCGGAGGCTTTGCCTTGTCCATCGCCACGGGAAGTGGGGCAATGTGACGTCTCGTTGCGCACGTGCCTCGGCGACAGGTTTTGATGGTGATTTCGTTGGTGCTTGGGAGAAACCTGGAATATTAGGTGAATCTGAGAATGTATTGGAATCTTTCCATTTGCACCAAATTTTGGGAACCATATGAAAAATAGCATGACAGCTAGCAAAACATAGGGATTTAAGCCAGTTAAGCCATTTTAAAGCATTTTAAACCGATAGGTAATGATGGTTCCATGGTGGTTCCATGCTGGCTGTGGGTTGCTGTCCTGATGTCATACTCATCACCCACTCGGGACAGGTCAAGAACACCATGAATGAGGTACAATATACCATCAATGTGAATAACTTTCAACACTATTCAATATGAATAAGACTCAGCAATTATCAATATTCATCAATATAATATTAAATATTTAGCAATATTCATTGAATAAGTTTGAATAACGTGAATCAGGTACATGTTACCCCCCTTGGAATTGGTTTCCCCCGCTGATACCGAATGATGTTTTGGTCTTCGGCATGGCCAAGTGCTTGGGGTCAAGAATTCGCTTGAGTCTGGGCTAAGCTGGGACGCTTTATAACTGGCTTAGCTATGGTGTATGGTATATATATATAGATATATTATCACAATACATATATATATATATATACATTTATTATAATTATATTTATTTATATATTATACATTTAAACATACCCACACACACATATACATATATATATATATAATTATATATATATATTCATATGTTGATAATCATCATATTTGCATCACTATAGTAGTCAATCGAGGTTATAAACCAACTCATAGTTTTGCTTTTTTTCCATCATGTAGGGTCGCACTTCAAGGGATGTGAAGCCTTGTCTCCCCAGGTTGACCTTGACAGCAGCAGGTGCCAGCGATTTTCAGTGGGTGGCTTCAAGTCCCAAAGAAAGGGTTTATACATGTTCGCTGCAACCCTGACGTTGCGCCGCGTCTGACTTCAGGTGGCCATGAAAATAAAGTTGATGTTATTACCCCCAATCAACATATTGTTCACAGGGGGTGGCAAATGTTGATCCCTTATGAAGATAAAGTTAATGTTATTACCCCCGATTAAAATATTGTTCATAGGGGGTGGCGAATTTTGATCCCTGATGAGATAAAGTTGATGTTATTACCCCAAACAACATATTGCTCGTAAGAGGTTGCGAATGTTGATCCCTCATGAAGAACAAGTTGATGTTATTACCCCAACCAACATGTTGTTCATAGGGGGTGGCGAATTTAAATGTGATGATGGTCATGATGTGATGATGTGATGATGATGATGATGATGATTATTATTATTATCATGACTATTGTAAGTGTGGAGCAACGTCTGGGTTGGGGCGTACATGATTATACTAAAGACAAGGCACTTCATGAAGCTACAAAGAAACACTGTATGGTCAAACTGGGTAACTATTATACAATGTGAGGCCCCCCAGTTATAAGTTGGTTTATAAGCCCCAGTAACTAGTTCGTTATAAGTACCATAAACCATAGTTATTGGAGTTAATTGCACCAACTTAGCTATCTTGGTGGCCTCACATTGTACCAACTGGTGGCCTAGGGAGTGACCATTTTGTGTTGAAATTCCCTGAAACCACATTCAGCTCTGGCAGCATGTGATGCATGACCACTGCGCAAGGATGACACAGCACAGTTTGAACTGACCTTGGAGGCTCAATTTCAAGGTGGAAAATATAGTGCCCGCTGCTTTTCATGGTAGCGGAGCCGGGGTGGTAGGCCCACCAGGCTCCGGGGGATAATTTTGGGATAGCCCCTAAAACCCCTCAATAAGATAGGAAGTCGCCCTGGAAAAGCCTCCCAGGGAACGATTGGTTGAGGTCCCGAACATGGCCAATGCTGGCCTTCAGACACTGGTTGAGGCCCTGAACAGGCTGGTTGAAAACCAGCAACAAGCGGGTTTTGCCAAGCATGTGAAGCCGCCAGAAGTCTTCAAAGCCGAGAGCAGATCAGAGGAGCTGCAGAGATGGCAGGACTGGAAGTTTTCATTTGAAAGTTTCATAGGTGTCATTGACAGCGCGTTGCTTAGAGAGATGAGAGATGCAGGAAACCAGCAGTATGTGATTTCGATGAATGC